TGTTTGTTTTTGACCGGATGGATTTCCAGCTCGACGTTGACGGCTGCTGTCTGTCCCCACGTCAAACGTGTCACTTCCTCCTCTCTGGTCTCTCCCTCTCAGTGTGTGTGAGCATGTGTGCGCCTTTGGAGACAGACTGTTTCCCTGTTGGATACACGCTCCATCGCGAAACACTCTTGCACACGCCGTCCCTGCCAACACTGTTTTTCTTTTTCTTTTTTTTCCCCGGCAGCAGAGCAGCACTGACACAATTACACAGGTTCATAGAAGAGGGAATTCAGTCATCTTTGCCGTAGGTAACAGTAGCAAAGCGGGGACTTCAGGCCAGTCCAAACATACATCAAATAGGTCCACCTCGCCGGTCCTTCAGCCTGTGCTTTGGAGTTGCAAAACCAAATGACTTTCAGGTTTGAAATAAAGTAAATTTGTTGTGTTCGTGCTTCTGACATGCTGCTGGATGCAGTTTCTCCCTCATTTGCATTTTTCTTATATTGCTTCTGTGTGATTGTGTGATTTATTGGGATTTTTTGTGCATAACTGTGGAAGTGGAAGAAAAACGATACATCTGCATCTTTTTTCGAGATGTATTTTTATTATTATAAAAATGTACTTTACATCAGTGTGCAAGATAAACCACATTACTCACTACATTCATGGTAAAAACATAATGCAGGGAAATGGCATCCAGAGCACTGGATGTCCAGTTGCATCGTAATGTCTCTGCAAGCGTTTTTATAGTAGTTGCGGGTTTCGGCTGTTCACTAGTGGTTCCGGTACCCAGCTTGGTAAGGCGGTCCACTGTGCGTGCTGTTCTGCAAGTCATGTTGCGGTCGCAGCAGCCGAGTGGATGAAGGTATCTTGGTCAGATGAGTCCAAAATGAAGCTTCTTGAACAAACCAAAAAAAGTCTAGTTATGAGAAAAAGAGATGTTCGTCAAAGTCCTTACTAATTGTAATTAGCAAGAAATATTCAGCTTACATGTAAGTTTATAATCACGTTAATAAGCATGTGATCGATTTAATATAGAGCGGGATCACTTGTTCTGCGCGTTTTCACAGCCTTAGGACCAGATGTGCTCTTTAGTTTGTTTGTATGACATTTGATGCTCATCCCAGGAGGCAGCAGAATAGACAGGCTGTGCTTGGGAGTGTTTTTTTCTTTTCTTTTTATCTTCCATGACTCTCCTGTTTGCTCTTGGTTCCCTGCCACATCAGAGCTTATTGTTCACCGGACAATATTACTTTCCCCATAATCAGCTGTGGTTTTGATCTTGAAAGGAATACAGTTTCCACTACGTGTTCGACTCCCTTTAACTCAGCCTACATGCAATATTTTATATAATTTTGTCCAGATGAAATTGAGTAAAGGACTGTACACTTGTTCAACGTGAATCTAGACATGAATCAAGAATTACATATTTTTTAAAACAAATCTGGATGAAACTAAATATTGACTTTGTAAAATTCCAGATTTCAAAGACATAATCAAACAAATGCTGCCTTCAAGGGTGTCAAGATGTTTCTTTTGTTATTTATTTATAAAATAAATTTACGTAGAAGGAGCATCAGAAACTAGATGAGACACCTTCATTTGGTATGAAAGCAGGCAGGTGTTACAGTACAAAGTGCTGACTGGGCATGTATGCTTAAGGTGACAGCAGAGCATGTATCAAACAGTGGCCACTGATTGTTTTTGCTTCATTTGTTCTGTAACACTCTGCTGTAGTTTGCAGAAAAAAGCCGTGTTGTTCCCATTACAAATGTGTGCAACATTTAGTGCATATTCCTCTAATCTTGAAAAAAACCAGAGTTGAGAATATCCAGACATCAAACTGCGTTCCAGTTGGACATTTAAAACGATACTGTAGAAAATCTTCACTTTCCATAGCCTGGCTGATTCACTCCAAAATCAAGCAGAAAATGGAAACGCCTTACTTACATTTTTATGTTTTTTTTTCCCCTGACATTTTAAAAATTTGATGAAAATGTGCACGACCGCTGAATGGAGACATAGCTGTTGTTTTCACCAACAAGGCTTTTACAATAAAAAAAAAAGCCAGAGTGAAATTTTCTCTCTGGAAGGGTTAGAAAAATAAAAGAAAAATGTTGTCATGTGGACAGAGTTGAAAGCCATTACTGTTGTGTCATAATTTTCTTGCTCCTGACCCGCAAACTGACAAAACTGATCAAAGGTGGTAAAACGAATCAGCAGCTTGGAGAGAATACATTTCTAGTTAGGAAAAAGGGGAAAAAAAGAGAGAAAGTGAACAAGTACCAATAACCCATCCAGCTCCCAAATCTGTTTCCTTGCTAACACCTCGGAAACATTTCTGCTGCCAAAACTCAAGACTGTGAAATTCCAGCCTCCGAATCCACAACAACAATCTGTGCAGAGCTTTGTTGTGATTCTGCTTCTTTTTTTTTTATCACGCATAAATGCCTCCTTTATCATGGAACACAAACATTAGAGAAAGAAACGAATGATCCTGACACAAAGCGCAAAGGTAAACAGGTTGCAACGCCTCTTGTGATGATTAATGCTGCAGCTGTGAATGCCTCGCAGCCACCGAGCGCGCCCATTCATGTTCCTCCCTCTCCGGGGGTAATGAATGAAACGCTCCGAGCTTTGTGTGTCGCTCCGAGTGTGCGTGTGCCTTACAAATTGCACGAGTCGCTCGTTTTGTCAGCCCTTGACGTCACCAGAACCCCAACAGCCATTATCGGTGCTGGCAAGTGTCAGCATGCATGAGTCAACTGAAGTAATCTTATCGGTTTGCAGACAGTCCACCTCAATCGCCCAGGGCAACAGACGCTATGATCACTTGTCACTCTGAAAGATTTGTGAGAGACTAGGGGAGATTGGCAGGAGAGGCGGTGGAGGTGAGAAGAGAGAGGGAGTCATTGCTAAAACAGACGGAAATGCACCGCTTGCACTTCAGCAGGGCGGCGGCAGGCAGCGGGTCTGCGTTGGCACGCCGGTACCGTGAGCACGGCTCTGCCTGCAGGCTGATGGACAGAATGCGCCGCGTTCTGACTGGATGCGGGGCTTTCTGCAAGCCAGGGCACAAATTGATGTAAAACAAAAAAAAAAAAAAAAAAAAGAGTTCATTCACAACAGCCGCGTTTCACCTTGAGGGAAAAGCCGAAAACACACAAATGCACGCACACACGTGTGCGCACAGAAACAGAACAGTCACATTCACCAAAATAAACCTTACTGGTGTCAAGCAATTGCAAACTCAAGTTTAATTTGTTTCACAAGTACACTGAATTAGTTTTACCTGAATTACTTTACATGAGATCAGATGTGAATTTTTTCTATTCTTTATTTTTTTACTAAAAATAGTTAGTCGCACAACAAATACGAGTGTGACATGATTTTGACTTCCGAGATGACTCAGACGCAGCATTAGCCATGCTAAACATCTTCCTCCCTTTACTCAGGCTGTTACCTTCCTACACAATTCCACTTGATTCTTATCTCCCTTCAGTCTGGTATTTCCCCCATTCAGTTTGATTTCTCTGGTTACATTTCAACCAAACCAACCAGATGGAGGATTTGTTAACGATTATGATTATTTCCTACACAGCTTTAGAATTGTAGTCTGCCTACCGAGGATAACTTGGCCATTACCTTGCTTTGCTATTATCGATTCTACAATATTTAGCGATTATTTCCACTCTCGAAAGGTATAAATTTTTCATCCGCAAATATCGACACGTTAAACTATAGGGGTCCATAGGCTTAAACCGTCCATGTCTGGTTTGTGACGACAGCAGGAAGACTCTGCTTCCCCCCATCTCACTTTCTTGCTTATAGTGCACACTATCAACTACACACCAGTTTTTAAATTGTATTAATAGTAAAACTGGAGTTATGCTAAAACGAGTAAACCATATTTTTCTGACTGTGAGAGAAATCTCAAAAAAAGGCTTTCGATGCAACATTAGATTCCTTTATTTTTGGACATCACATAAACAAAGGAACCTTTGTTTTTGAGCATTATTATTTATTTTTGAGACGGCCATCATTATTTTTTAATAAATGATGGGCTGTATTTTGTTGCTAAGAAGTGAAGTTGTCCAATCAGAGTCAAGTATTGTGTAGTTGGTGATTTTAATCAGTTTTCAGTTAATTAAATCCAAGTCTATGGCACACAAAATGTCACTAAAATCACTCTGTCCTTCTAAAATCTTTCAGAAAATTATAAAAGTGCATCGAATTGTATCATTTGCCAAATATTGTGATACATATTGAATTGTGATCAGAATATCGTATCGTGAGGTCCCATAGTCTCTCACAAATCTTTCAGAGTATTGTATTTGCTCTTCCACTTTATTAAAATCTTATTACACAAACAGTCTGGGCTTTCTCCCATTTCCCACTGGTAGAAATTCTACCAGGCCAATCTGTGTACAGATGGAGAGGCTATGAACGAATTTTGTCATAAAACAAGGAAATTGAAGGGCCCGTGTTAGATTGTTAGCTGAATTCCTACAGTCTGGATGTTCTCCCGCTGCCGGTTGCCTATACACCGAACAGACGTAAGAACAAGGACGGCTGAGAAGAGATAAGGGCGCATGCATCATGTTTACTCTGATACACCAGAGTTGTTGATCTGAGGCCAGAGGAACAAAGGAGCCACCACTCGCTAAAGGCAGTTTATCTTGCAATGGGCTCATCTTCATTCATTGCCCTACTTGTCGACATGACGCGCACACACACACATTTACAAAACACATACGCACACAGAGGGATTCTAAGAGCTGAAAAACACAGATGTTTGCCCTTCTGCCGGTGCTGTTCTTTTATGTCGTTAAGAAAGGAAAGTTGAAAGTGTCACGCCGGTGCACATTCACACAGCAGTGCAATTTTCGGAGTAATTTGATGACTGCATAAACATTGCACTTGTCGCCAATTGCACTTTTAGGATAAAATAGCTGAAATCTTGAAGCGTGAGATTGAACCGGAGTGCGTTTGTGTTTCCTTTGTTCCGTCAGAGGGGCGTTTTCAGAGGTGGTCCTGGCCCAGGAGAAGCTGACCGGCCGCATGTTCGCCGTCAAATGCATCCCCAAGAAGGCGCTGAAGGGGAAGGAGAGCAGCATCGAGAACGAGATTGCCGTGCTGAGAAGGTGAGCGCAGTCACACCGCCCCACACACAGCAACCGGTTACCGGGGCAACTGTGGATCTCCTCTGTTAGTTCCACGCAAAATACCCCCCACCTCCATACATCCATCCATACATCCATACATCCATCCTTCCCCTCCCCTGTCAGCCCTCGCCCCCAGGTCACGATCCATGGCTCAAACACACATCACACACACCAGGGCTGCGGTGCTATGCAAACACAACCATATCAAAGAAAATTTTGTTATTATTTAATTATTTTTGACCTGTTGTGCAGAAGTTTGGGAAGAACGCTTGTAAAAAATTTTTAGTTTTGCTAAAAAAAAAAAAAAAAGAGCCATTAGATTTATAAGCAGAAAACAGAGAGCCAACAAATCTGTTCTTCAACTTAAAACAAATTAAATTTTGTGACTTGCTGGACTTTTGTGTTCTCCAAGTTATGTTTAAATACATTTAGATATTTACAGAAAACAGAAAAAAAAGTTTAAACTAACCACGTGGACTAAATCCTTCCAAAGAAACCAAGGAGATACATTTTTACTGAAAATAAGAAAATCGAATATTTTATCAAAGTATAATGACTAACTAAATTCAATTAGTAGAGTGCTGAATGATTAAAAATATTGTAAAAAACATATTGTATATATTGTATATATATATATATATATATATATATATATATATATATATATATATATATATATATATATATATATATATATTGGTCGGTAGTTGGGTGGGACTGGACCCTTTGATGGATCCTTCTGGATTAGGATTGTCCGCCCTTCAGTTAACCATTCAGGGTGAGTCCCACTTTGTAGCAGCTGGTTCATTTGGGCTGCCAGTCGCTCATGGAGAGCAGTGAGTTTCTTTAGCCAGTAGGCATGGATCATGTCAGGCCCTGGTGCTGTCCAATTTTTCATGCCTGAGAGTCTTTCTTGAACATCTGTCACAGTGATGGTTACCGGGGCTTGCTCAGGGAGGTTGCTGTGGTCCTCTCGTAGAGAGATCTGAGAGCCTTCATTGCAAACTCGATGAAGCTGTGGAAAACCACCCTTGAAGCCAACTGCAAACCATTTGCACAAGTGTCCATCAAATGTGGCATATACCAAGGAGATGCTCTGTCCCCGCTACTGTTCTGCATAGGCCTGAACCCCTTAGCCAAATTATCAACAAGACTGGCTACGGATACCGACTCAAAAATGGGGCCAACATCAGTCACCTCCTCTACATGGATGACATCAAGCTGTATGCCAAGAGTGAGCGAGACATCGACTCACTGATCCACACCACCAGGATCTACAGCACTGACATTGGGATGTCATTCGGACTAGAGAAGTGTGGTCGGCTGACCACAAAGAGGGCGAAGGTGATCCGCACAGAAGGAGTCTCACTCCCACAAGGAACAATAGCAGACATAGAGGACAGTTACAAGTACCTAGGTATACCACAAGCAAATGGCAACCTCGATGAGGCCACAAGGAAAGGAGCCACAGCTAAATACCTCCAACGAATAAGGCAAGTCCTGAGAAGCCAGCTCAATGGCAAGAACAAAATCAGTGCGATAAACAGCTATGCCTTGCCAGTAATCAGATACCCTGCTGGAATAATTAGCTGGCCAAGGAGGAGATAAAAGCCACAGATATTAAGACCAGAAAGCTACTAACAATGCATGGAGGGTTCCATCCCAAATCCAGCACGCTGAGACTGTACACGAGCCGCAAGGAAGGAGGCAGAGGACTAGTGAGTGTGAGAACCACTGTCCAGGACGAAACAACTAAGATCCATAAATACATCAGGGACAAAGCCTCAACAGACAATGTGCTCAGTGAATGTCTCAGACAACAGGGAACGGAGGTTGAGGTGCCAGAGATACCATCATGGGAGGACAAGCCCCTACATGGGATGTACCACCAGCAAATAACCCAAGTAGCTGATATCAGTAAATCCTACCAATGGCTGGAAAAAGCTGGACTCAAGGACAGCACAGAGGCCCTCATCCTGGCCGCCCAGGAACAGGCCCTAAACACCAGCGCAATAGAGGCCCAGATCTACCACACCAGACAAGACCCAAGGTGTAGGTTGTGCAAGGAGGCCCCTGAGAAAGTCCAGCACATAACAGCAGGGTGCAAGATACTGGCAGGGAAAGCATTCATGGAGCGACATAACCAAGTGGCAGGCATAGTGTACAGAAACATCTGTGCAGAATATGGACTGGAAACCCCGAGATCAAAGTGGGAAACACCCCCAAAGGTGGTGGAGAACGCCAGAGCTAAGATCCTGTGGGACTTCCAGATCCAGACAGACAAAATGGTAATGGCGAACCAACCAGACATTGTCGTAGTGGATAAACATCAGAGGAAAGCCGTTGTGGTAGATGTAGCAATACCAAGTGATTGCAACATCAGAAAAAAGGAGCACGAGAAACTGGAGAAATACCAGGGCCTCAGGGAACTGGAGAGGGCCTGGAAGGTGAAGACCACAGTGGTGCCTGTGGTCATCGGGGCCCTCGGGGCAGTAACCCCCAAACTGGAGCAGTGGCTACAACAGATCCCAGGAACAACATCAGACATCTCAGTCCAGAAATGTGCAGGCCTTGGCACAGCCAAGATACTGCGCAGAACCCTCAAGCTCCAGGCCTCTGGTAGAGGACCCGAGCTCAGAGGATAAGAACCACCCGCGGTGGGTGAGAAGGGAATTAATTAATTATATTATTATTATATATTTAATTATTAGTTTTACATATACTTTGCCTTTTTTGTGTTTAAAGATGCATCAATATGTATGGTTGATTTATGCTTGTTGCTTACAGTGTAGTGCAATGACTTTTGACAGAAGGGGTAGATTACAGACACCCTGCATGTTATTGTCTACATTCGGATATTTTGCGAATGCGCAGAACGCTAAAGGACAATAAAAGACAATTCTTTTACTGGCCATCTATAGCCGAGCTGTCGTGCTAGAACAGCCTCATCAACAAAATGACACTTGCAGATGTAGGTATTATTAAATTAGAAAAAAATAAACAGTTGAAGAAGAACTAAAAACTACTCATACTTTTCTTTTATCTCATTCTCTGTATTTGCTACACAGCCAATACAGAGTTGGCTACCACAACTCTGTATTGTATACACTCCACTAATGTATCAGGATTCAACAACAAAAAAAAAAAACACAAGCATTTCCCATACAAAGAATAGAACATTCAGTCTGTTACAGTATTATGTTTTTAGACCTTATGTTTATTTTGCGATTATTAATAAGTGATTGTCTGAACACAGCAGTGATTGATTAGCTCATTTAAATACCTGCTCTACTGATGATGTGTCAGAGAAGTGGCCTTGTGGGTCGCCTTTTTTTTTTTTTGTTTTGTTTGTTTGTTTTTTTACTGAACCCAAACACATCCAATTCCACATCACATCTACATGTTAATATTGTCAAAGTCAAGCTAGCGTAACAGCTCTCCCTATCTATTTTTTACAGTAAATATTTTTTTTGCCCTTGTTATCTAGATGTCGTAGTGTTGACAATTAATAGCAATAGTATCCCTTTTTATTCTATATATAACGTGTACTTTGAAGATTTAGCATGTTAGGTTGTCAACTTCACACCTAAACCAATGGTAGTCATTATTGTCACTGAGCAGTTTTCTGCCATCCTGCAAGAAGCTGGGGCTGAGATCTTGCACAAGGTGTCTATATAAGATTTTTCTTCTCACAACTACTCCGTTGATTTCAGAATTTTTGTTTATGTCCACATGTTCATTTTAAACTAAAAATGAATTAAATACATGATTGATATTTTAATATGAGGCATTTTTTTGCACAATGAACTTGAATAGCTGTGGGAACAATTCTGGCCTCATATCAGAAATCAGTTGTGAATGGACAGAGCATCACGCATGCCGAACCTCCAATTAGGGCTGCATATCTCCCAGTCCAGCTGTGAGAACAACAGTGGATTCGGACACTCTGAGCGTTGGGAACAAAGACGACTCTCCCTCGCCACCAGTCCCACCGCTGTTAGTGTCACACCAGCCGCTGCCCGTTGCACATCCTGGTGGCACCGTAATGACAGAAGATGTCTATGTTTAGCGGTAGAAAGTGGCCCCAAAGGCAACGCTAATGCGATGTGTAATGTCAGCTTTTGAGGCTGATGCTGGGAAGCAACGCAGCAACACAAACGCCACGCCAATTACGAATGCCTGAATGCAGCTCGTATTTGTGTGTGTGTGTGTGTGTGTGTGTGTGTGTGTGTATGCGTGCGTGTGAGTATGTTGATGTATAAAACCGTGGAGAGCAGCTTATGTTTTGACACATATCACATGCTGCTAGTGTGTGTCGGTCCTTATTCGTGCGGTTTGACTCTGCCAGGCGCAAGCTGTTCTGCTTTTGTGCAGAATGTGTGCGCCTTCAAAGACAGGAGTTTATTTTTCACTCGTAGCCCGCAGCATCAAATATAAATTTAAAAAATCTTTCAAATCGCTGTTTAAAGATTCCAGTCTGTGAGAAGAAATAGTTATTTCATCCTTTAAAGCTTCAAGTAAGAGAAGTCGATGAAAAATGTATTTTACTGGTATCACTAACATGTATTAATAAATCTTGAAGGTTTTCACAAGTTGATTAAAGCAAGAGTTGAGCAAATATCGGACTGTATGAACTTTCTAAATGTGTGTAGAAGATTGGAATTAATTGGATTGGTCTGAGTTTCATCTAAACCCATATCACTGGGCTTGACTTGGACTTTGGAAAGTGCTACGAGATTGGATCTTCTGTAATTTGGTGCTCTACAAATAAATCAGATTGTATCAATTTGGAATTATAGAGATCCAAACACATATCTCTGCTATGTGTGCATGTTGTTGTAAGACTTATTTACCTGATAAATTGGGGGAAATATAAGATTCCTTGTTGATTTTGAATGTTTCTCTATGAGTATATGTGAAATTTTACTTTAATGTAACAGTATCAGCCGAAAATACATTAAAAACACTTATAATTTGAGAGTCACTGGGAAATTGTGGCTCAAGTAGATTTGTTATCTGTTCATGTCACACACACTTCAATCAGCCAATCGACTGCTGGTACTAATGACCTCAGCTTAAAAAAATACCTTTTAACAGAATTCATTTCTTTCATTCCAACCTCTTCAATACTATAGATTGCCCAAAGAACTGTCACAGGAATGTTAAGAAAGGCTAAATATGGTCTTTGGAGGAGTTGGCCCTCTAAAGACCATATATAGAGGAAACCTTGGCGTTTCCTCTACCGCACCTTGGCGTCTGTCCCCTCCGTAACACAGCCAGTACAGTCTACCACTTGAGTCTTGGGGTTGAGATGATGGGCCTTGCAAAGATAGGTAGTTGTACTGTACTATACTGTGTCAACATTATGACCCCTATCTGTCTCCATGCCATTGTTCCAGGTTCATACATCATTCCATTCAGTTCATGAGCTCTAATGCTCTCACTTTTCCTACTAGAAGCAACCCATAGTTATCTTGGGTTACAAATCAAAGATTTCCATTAAAATGTTGCTTTGATGACATCTTCCTAAAAGATTACCTTAGCCTACAACTACTACTGATGTAGAGATATAGAAGGTCATCAGGGTTCATTATTAGTTCAACTGAGATAAAGAGTAAATGAAAGGTATAGATAGGCACTTCTCTATGCAATCATAGAGAAGTATTAAAGTGATGCACTTGTGTATGCTGTGACAATAGAGAAGTATGATGCAATTAAATATGCTGAGGTTACTAATTTGCCTCTGCGGAGGGACATTAGAGAAAATTGGAATTGCCAATAATAATAAGAGAGAGAGTTTCTGACAGTCATTTCGATAAATGGATGTTATTACTGCAAAAGGTTCAAAGCGTCCCTATGTGCAGTGTAAGACACTGGGCCGCCTTTGGAAAACCTAATGGATTTCTTTACAGCTCTAAACAGGCAGATATTATTTTTACTCTATAAAGGACAAAGCTTTGCTTTTGAATTCAATTCAGTGCACTCGTCTTGTGTGTTTCTCAAGGCAATTCACAATGCAAAAAAGAACCATATAATGTCTAATTATTAACTTTTCAAGATGGTCCAAAATTAGTTCACATGAATCCTATACACATTTCAAACACAAATACACATTTACTTACATTTTACACAAAGTGTAATTTAATTCATCCAAAGGATAATCACACACCCTCGCTTTTTCCACATTACATTACGTTCAGTTTGCCTTTTAAAAATTAAAATCAAACTACCCGCTGCTGACAAAGTTAAATCATGTCTTGTGTGTTAAAAATGAAAATAATAGCTAAATCAAACCAAAAGACTTGCTTAGTTGTGACTTACAAAACTCCCTTGGTCTGAAGTTTTTGTTCAAATATCAAAGACTTTTACTTGCGAGTGGTGGTATGATGGAATTGCAGAAGAATAGACAGTTTTGGACATTGGCTGCTGTAGCATGAGTGCTGTTCTGGCCAGGTACCGACTTGGGATCCCACAGAATGAGGTGGAGAGTCGCTAAGTGGAGGGGTCTTTCCATTTCCGTCCTGGACTTGTTACCTCAGGTAACCTCCTCCACTTATTGTAGATAAGTGGAGGATAATAAACCAAAAGCAGAGACATTATGATATCTACTTTTTGGTAAGAAATATCTCAAAATATTTGTCAAGAAAATTTTCTCCAGGGGCCTGAACGTAAAACCAATGAGTCCTTCTTTGGCCAAGCACTTGGGGATCAGTTAGTAATTCAGTAGGTAACCATCCAGAAGTCATGACGCACTAGAATCATTCCTACTGAGATTAAAAGACCTCAGAATAGCTCAAATTATCCATTCTACAGATGGAAAGAGAGGCGAATTATTGGAATCCAACAAATGGTTTAGATGTGGGTTTAAGAGATTTCCAATGAAATTTCTTGGTCTTGACTTGCTCTGATCCAATTGTTGGTTTGTTTCTTTCCACTCTACAATCAGGACATGTTTGATTTCCGTACTTATCCAAGAAGTCCCAAGAAGAAAACAGGTGAAAAACATGACAAGGGTGTAACTTCCCTATCGGAACAAATGGTTAGACATATTTTGGTAGTGCTACCATAGCAGTTTGAGATAGAAATAGACTATAAAGTTCCGCCACAACAGCTGTTACAGGAATCCATGAATAAGAGCAGCTCAGAGCAACATGGAGCCTGAAATGTTCAAGAGGCTTTTTGTGAATGGACCCTGACTCTGGTTTGCCGTTACAGAGAGCTGTTGTCTGTAGCTCTCCATTATCCCTGGCAGGGCTTAAATCCACGCATTATCCCCATTCAACCTGCACTCGTCTGTGTGTTTCTATGTGTGTGTGAGTTGTGTCTTAGCTTCGTGGCTCATCGCTTGCCTATTGTCACAGAGATCATACACTGTAATAGGGGGTAAATGCCTCACCTGAGCACCTGTTGTGAATGTTTGGGTTAGCATGTCATACCTGGGGGAATTACCTGTATTTACAATGCAGAAGATGATCAAACCATGCGCCCACATGCATTCAGTCGTGATTTTACCAGCATTAAGCTATTAGGGTAATGAATGTGCACCTCACACACACACATAGAAACACACAGAACTGTTTGAAACACCCTCACCATGCTGCTGTAACCATGGAGAGTTTGAGGAAATTAATCCAGGATGAAAAGAATTTTCATTCCGATTTCTAAGTGTTTGAGTCAAAAGAATGAAAATACAGAAAGATTTCAGCTTAAAACAAAATCACAATCTACATTTAAAGCAGCAGTATGCAGTATCTCTTATTTAAAAAAAATTATGTTCTACATGTTGACACTGTCACCAAGCCATTAGAGCATTAGAGATAATCTGTGAAAAGATCAATCTCTTCCACCTCTTCCCTGAGCCATTGTTGCTCTCTGTGTTTTTGTCGGGAGAAGTGCATTTCTTCAACTAATCAGAGCAAGCAGAAAAGTCTTAGTGCTGCCAATCAATATTCTGTACTTGCTGCTCGATGTGCTAATGGTGGAGAAGCAACTTATTGTTACAGGAAAACTGTTTATCCACCATCATCCGTGGGCATGCGTTCACAATGAGCTGTTTCAACAAATGTGTGGAAAAATATTTGTATAAAAGTTACAAACACAACTTTTATATGTATCTAGCTTTTAAGATACATATAACATTTGAACAAAAATTAAGTCTGTTATCCATGTAGTCATGGTCTTTAACCGGACATCTTGTACACAATGTACCATGATGAAAAACTGAATTTTCATTTTTTGTACGTTCCACTTTGTGAAACCACCTTTTGCTCTACTTCCAACTTCAGCTGTTTTGTGGTGCTTCTCTATCAAATAGGCACATCTACATATTTTAGCTCTTTCTTCTTTGAATAAAAGTTTGAGCTCAGTCAGTTTGGATGGGGAGCTTCTTTAAATAACAGTTTACAAGCTATGGAACAATTTCTAAATTGCATTTAGGTTTGGACTTTGGGCCACTGTAACAAATGCAAGGTTTGATCTAAGCTGTAACATTGTAGTTGCAATGTTAAAGAGGACAATACAACGGATATCATATGAAATAAAGAGGTTTACTATTGGTTTGTGTTTGCTTTGCAGAATCAAGCATGAAAACATCGTTGCGCTGGAGGACATCTATGAGAGTCCGGACCACCTCTACCTGATCATGCAGCTGTGAGTTAAACCTTATCTTCATTTTGGTGTGCGGTTTCTCAGAGGTGGTGGAATCAGTTGATGTGTGTGTCGGTGGAGCTCTAATAAAGGGGTCTTCCATCTGTTTTAGTCATGACTGAAACTTCCTTGCACTCATGCTTTCTTCCTCCTTTGTGTTTATGTTGAGGAACATTGCAAGCATGTCCCATTTAGATATTCAGGGATTTGTTGAAAATAAAGGTAAAATTGCGACTGGTTAACAAATGGGAGCCTTCTGCCCTTTGGTAGAAGATTAGAGCTGCCTACGCAGGAATAGAAGTTGTTTTGGAAGTTTGGCACTGAAGCTGAACGCGGTTCTATCCAGTTCAGGTGGAAGACCCGTCTGAGGATTATGTAAGCGTCAGCGGATTATCAGTACAGCCACAACATGTCTGGGTTCCAACGCCAGCCTTCATAAAATCGAGAATAAGGGGTAAATAAAGGCTGTATTGCACTTAAATACTGCACAAAAAACATGTTTTGTTCAAAAACAAAAGCTGTGTCCTCACCAGACCCATTTTTTCCCATTGATCATTCCCTCTACTGTTTGACAATTTTGTGAATTTTTTTTTGTAATTGTAATGATTAGATGGAAAGAAATTTTCTCTTTTTGGTCTTTTCTGACTGTTGAGAGTGACAGGTTCTTTCACTGATCGTTTCATTGGATATTTCTGCTTGAGTGCCTGTTGAGTTTTCTATGTCTCGTACTGTCCTTACGGTGCAAATCAAAACATTTTTTATATCACTCCTTCTGCCAACCGTTAAATCACCTGAAGTCCTTTTCTTGACGATCCTCCAAAGGTTGTGGCTTTAGCTAAGCCGATAAGCGTCAATGCTAAACCCAGTTAACTGAGTATTTCCGTTTCTAATGCGGATACTCCCACCTGTTGTCTCCAGAATGTCTTAGCTTGCGTTAGAACGCTGTAGGGTCAGTGCAGCGTCCATCAGAAAATCAAGTGCTGCATCACTGGACAACAAAACCCAGAATGTTTTGTTGTCCATCATTGTGTCCCTGTTCTGTCAATTAATGAGTCTTTCATTTGGGTCCATGTGTGCTCTCCTTTGTTTTCATAACCGAGGCTCCTGTTGTTTTCTCATCGGGTTTTCCACTATCAGAGAGACAATCAGGGTTGTACATGTTCTGATGTCCAGATGTTTCCAATGAAAAGCTCTAAAGTTCTGTGGTTGAACAGTTGGAGACAGAGCGTATCTTTTTATCTTCCATCTCCATGTCTTATCTCCCACCATCTGTCCCTCCTTTCATTTCATTGCTTTTCTCTTTCCTGTTTTTTTTCTCACACCTTATTTCCATCTCTATCACCTCATGCTTTCCCTCTGGCTTACTTGCATTTCTTTATTACTTGCCATGTTAATTTTTGTCTCCCGTCGCCATCTGTTAATGGAACATGGGTTAGTTTCCATAGTTACAGGGTCAAAGGTAAGCGGTGGGTATTGACGCTGCAGAATAACATTGAAAAATGAGGCTGTTGGAATTTTCTGTTGCTTAAGACAGGAACTGGCACCATTCCAGTTCATAAGGGGGGAAACGGATGAATGCTACAAGGATGTTTTGTACTCTCCAGATACGAATGAATGAAACTTAACATGCAGTAATCGGATGAAATTAAAGTTGACAATATGTGCAAATTCCAAGATATGGCACTTACAGCTCCTTTCCCTCTTTTTGTTACGTTTTCTCAGCCAGCCTCTGGTCATTTGTGCAACTCTCTGGAGTATGTTTTGTCAGCTCTAACAGAATATGTACAATAAATGTATTTTAGAATACCTAAAATACATACTGATAAAAAGAAAATGGAGCTCCAATGTATAACAAACTGAGGTAATTTGTTACATGTAATAAAATCAAGTCGTCAAACTTAATTTATTCATGTTTGTTTAACATGACAATTAAATAGACTTAACATATTTACTTGAATAAACTTAATTTGATTACTTGTAATAAATTAAATCAGTTTTTTAAAAGTTTGATTGTCTTCTATTTTTTATCTCAATCCACTCCCTACTCATTAACGACACACATAGACATAGGCAGACTTTACTGTCATTCAACTGCACAATTCAGATGTACATATTAAGCAACATTTTGTTGCAGGACTCCAAAAAAGTGATAAATGGATTGAGATAGGCAAGCAACAAATTAAACCATATTTTTCTCACAGAGGTTTTGGCAGAAATGTTAAGGGAATAATTTGCTCCCTCTGAATAAATTCTCATGTTGCCTTGTTAAAACACTCTCTGTGTAAATGTAACAATAAAAACACTGTGATGTCACAGCAAAACGTCCCCTGTCCTGATGTAGGAGCACAGTTTTCCTCCCTATCCAAACATTATATAACATGTTCGTCTATTGTTTATGTATACTTCATAGACAATAGAGCACTTAATGCTTCACAAAATTGACTTAGATTGCTAATATTGATAAAAAATACAATTTAAGTCAGCCAACATACTGGTGAGGACAAGAAACAGTGCTTTAATTCAATATTTGTGGTCAAATAGCTTTAAATGTACTGTTGTGTTAGACTCTTACTGCTGTGTTACTCAATGTGTAGTTGTTCTAAGTACACATTGTAATTTAAGGAACCTTTCTGCAATAATCCATCATTAATTATATATATTACAAACAAAGTCAACGTTACACCGCTGTGTACCAGAGAGTATGTGCTGTGACAGAATTTGCTGAATTTTCTTTTATTATGTAAGCAGAGACAGAACTTTCTCAAACATGCTGTATTAGCGATTCACCAATAAGCACTGATAGTATTACAAACATGTATCATCATTCTTTATTTCTCCGGTTGTAATCAAAAGGTTTGAGACTGAGAATGTTTTTTTTTGCCCATTTGTTGGTTCAGTTTTTATGGGGGCAGTTTGTATCTGGTACAAATTGCTATAAAGAGTCATCAAATGAAATGCAGTTAACCGCAAAGGTAATAAAAGTTAATGAAAAATACTTCAATCATGAAAACCTCTGAGGAACTGTGCTTAATCCCTGCCACTAATTGACAATAAGCTAAGGGGAAACTGTTAATGAAGACCAGGCAGCTGGTATCACTCTGTCATTCTGATTAAATCAGATGGACAGAATGGCTGCTTTAAAGGAGTTGCTGCTTGAAATCATTCCTCCTTTGCAAACCATGGCTACCTCCAAGCAAACACGTGCTGTTTTTATGTCTGCTTCAACTCTTCAGACTGCACCAAAAGATTTGTTTTATTGAGTCATCAGGGACTTCCAGGAGAGATGTTTAGCTGCTGCAAAAATAGCTTTAAAACACCAAAGAAGATACCAGGAAAATGTTCTAAGGAAGATTTAACTCAGGGAAGTGGTGACCAAAAAAGTGATCTCTGGTATGCCTAGAAAACCTCAGTTAAGTTCAACTGAACTCTGGTGCGGTTCGAATGCATATGTGTACAGGAAGTGGAACGGCAGCAACTCCAAATATAGGAAGCAGACTACAGCACATGGCATTGTGGGTAAATGCAACCAAAACAAATACGTCTAGCACTAGCCAGACAAATGGCTTGTCTTTTGCCAAAGACAAAATTCAAATCCTACAGCCACTAAAATCCGACTCGGTTCTATTTTTCTATTTTATGAAGAAGGAAGTTGCGCTCAGTTTCTTCTTCAAATGTTTTCCTGTTGTTTTCTTTTGTGGCTCTTGGTGCAGTGCCACTACAGGCGAAGAGCAACTTTGTCTATTGGTACAGGAGCCATTTAGTGATCATATTTTTTTCCCCTCTATTGCAATTGAGCACTGGTTCAAAAGGCAAAAGAAATGACTAAGACCCTGTTCATACTGAGACGCTTTTAGGCATATCTGGCAAAATTTCGTTTGTCTTTTAGACAAACGAGACACCAGATATTAGCATTTCTGAAATTGGGTCTAAGAGTGGATACATTTTCCTGTGTACATTCCAGCTGTGTCTTGCAGAAGATGTGGCTCTTTTGAAGTTTTAAACAACTGGATCTTGTTACACCCTGTCGCTGATGTTTAGCTGTGACCTAAGTAATATACCAGCTCAATGAAGCTTCCTGGAAATTGCGTACGCTATAAACAGCCATGTGGGGAGAAGGGCAGAAACATCTTTAGGAGCAAGAACATATCTTAAACATTCTTCTTGTTTCCAGTTTTTGTGCTCAATATTTGGATGTGTAACCAATACTGACAGAATGGCTTCATGTCCTCCGCTGCCATTGCTAACAAGATTTTGAATGAGATTTTTATCGCAGAAAATCAACATCATAGTTCACAACTTCTTCTAATGTTCGCTGATTGGCCAAGTTGAAATTCAACAAGAGAAGTCAAACTCAATGAGAGAAATCCCAGAGAGAGAACTGAAGGGAGATGAGAATCAAGCACAATTGCGTAGGAAGGTGATAACCAGACTAGGAACCCACATACTTCTGTATGAAATAGTATTTCCTTTATTGTAGTAATAATAGTGGAAGGTTTGAAATAATCCTTTGACATATTTGAGCTTACTGTACTGACATGAAGTACATGAGTGCAGCTTAAATCTGAACACAAATCATTGCTCAGACAGGCTTATGGATAATCTGAGAGACTCTTTGAGTGTCTTGACTTGTTGATTGATTCTTGTTGTTGTGCAGCTCATTTCATTCCGTTACATATCCTTTCTCTTGCCCCTTCTTCCCCTAGTAATGTTCAAGCGCCCTCATGCTTTATGCGTAGACAGATGTTGAAATATAGAAGACACAGCGAGAGAATTGGAGGGAAGCAGCAGTGTCAGTGCTGCAGTCTGTTCTTACTTTCATCACCATACTGTATTGTAGTATGTGTAGCCGTTTAATCGTGAGGCATTGTCTATTCTCTCTAATAAAAGATGACAGCCAATCCGTGTCCTTGAGCTTCTGTAATTACCGCGCTGGTTCTGATCTCTAAGTAATAAGTAGCCTCGTTTGTTATAATTATGTACATTTACAGAAATGTCAGTCTTCC